TACTCAACTCTTGGGAGTGGCAAACAGTGTCTATGTTAACCAAGGCCACACAGAGAAAAGAGAGACAGACTGCCAAAGCAAATGTCAAGCAGCTTTGCTGGCATCTGCCATTACACAGATGCCTTCACTCTCTCAAAACAAATTCACCAACAGAAGCAGAGGGCCACCTAATCAAAAATCAGGGCCATTGAAAAAATGATCAATGCACCTATTGAGAATAGATAGGCCACTGGAAAAACAAATGCACCACCATGATCCACAAGCCTCAAGATGCAATTTCAGGCCGGCGCCGCGGCTCACTAGGCTAATCCTCCGCCTTGCGGCGCCGGCACACCGGGTTCTAGTCCCGGTCGGGGCGCTGGATTCTGTCCCAGTTGCCCCTCTTCCAGGCCAGCTCTCTTCTGTGGCCAGGGAGTGCAGTGGAGGATGGCTCAAGTGCTTGGGCCCTGCACCCCATGGGAGACCAGGAGACGCACCTGGCTCCTGCCATTGGATCAGCGCGGTGTGCCGGCCGTGGCAGCCATTGGAGGGTGAACCAACGGCAAAGGAAGACCTTTCTCTCTGTCTCTCTCTCTCACTGTCCACTCTGCCTGTCAAAAAAAAAAAAAGATGCAATTTCAAGCCAAAGCCAAAGAACTGATGCTCATCACTTTTTTGTCAAAGAAGACAGACACACCAGGTTAGTTCGCCATTGGCTCCCATGAACCTATGATTTCCATGGAAGCAGGGGACAAATCTCTAAAGTTTGTGGTAGACACTGGAGCTGAACATTTGGTCATGACTCAACCTATAGCCCCTTTAGGAAAAAAAAGACTGCTGTCTTCATGAGGGTTAAGAGGATTCAAGCTGAAAAACCATTCTTCTAAACATGAGTCTGTACTCCAGGTGCTCACCAGATTGATCACAAGTGTCTCCACATTGCTGAATGCCCAGTGCCACTCTTAGGATGAAATGTCCTCAGAAATATTGGGGCCCAGACCATTTTCTGCTCCACAGGACTCTACAATTTAACTCTGCCTGGCAACCCAACTGATGGCCATGTACCCTCTTTCATCTTGATGGTATCAGTTGGACACAAATATGAATATGAGAGGGACCGCTCAGATTAACTCAGAAGATTTTCTGTATTTCCTCAGATCTGGGCTGAAATAACCCAGTAGGCCTGATCAAAAACCATGCACCTCTGGTAATGACTTCAAGCTTGGGGCAGCTCCAACTCAACAATGACAATAACCTCTGCCTCAGGATACTCAACTGGGAATAAAACAACACATCACTTACCTGCACGAGGCAGGTATCCTAACTGAGTGTGTGTTCCAGTGGATCACTCCACTGCTGCCAGTCAAGAAACTAGGAGGAGCAGGATATCAACCAGTCCAAGATCTGCAGGCCATAAACAGGGGTACAGTACCATTACACCCTGTGATTCCCAACCCATACACTATCCAGATTCTGCCAAGGACTTCCTGGTACACCTGCCTATACTTGAAGGATGCTTTCTTCTGCCTGAGAGTGACTCCCTCAGTCAGCTGCCATTTACCTTTGAAAGGGAGGACCAGACATGGGCAGGAAAACACAGCTGACCTGGACAAGGCTACTGCAGGAATCCAAAAACTCTCACTCTGTTTGAGGAATCCTTGGCAACAGATATGGAAAAATTTCCTGTGGATTCACTAAATTGCATTAGTCTACAACATGTCAGTGACCTCCTACTGACAGCAGAAAGGCAGGCCAACTGTGACTGGGGGACATGGGTACCCCTGACTCTACTACAAGAGCAAGATATGAAGTATAATGGAAAAAGGTCCAGATCACCAAGAAAACTGTCAAATATCTAGGGTTCAGGATCTCTCAAGGAATTTGGGCCCTGGGGCCTGAAATAAAATTGGTGGTGTGCAACATTCCAGGACCCAAGACCCAGACACAAGTCCATGGGTTCTGTGGAACAGCTGGTTACCACATTCTACCATCATGTAGAATGTCAGGAATTCAGGGCCGGTGCCGCGGCTCAATAGGCTAATCCTCCGCCTAGTGGCGCTGGCACACTGGGTTCTAGTCCTGGTCGGGGTGCCGGATTCTGTCCTGGTTGCCCCTCTTCCAGGCCAGCTCTCTGCTATGGCCCGGGAGTGCAGTGGAGGATGGCCCAAGTCCTTGGGCCCTGCACCCCATGGGAGACCAGGATAAGCACCTGGCTCCTGCCTTCGGATCAGCGTGGTGCGCCAGCCGCAGCACACCAGCTGCAGCGGCCATTGGAGGGTGAACCAACGGCAAAGGAAGACCTTTCTCTCTGTCTCTCTCTCTCACTGTCCACTGTCCACTCTGACTGTAAAAAAAAAAAAAAAGAATGTCAGGAATTCAGGAATTCAATGCAGAATGTGATAAAATAATCTAAATGTGTTCTAAAGTTATGATAAAATTTCACTGAAGGAGGTAGGAATGGTGCTAATAACTTATGTAATTACAAAAGTGTTGTGGTACAGCAGGTTAAGCTCTCACCTGTTATGCTGGAATCACATGTGAGCACTGGTTCATGTCCTGGCTACTTTATTCCTAATCTATCTCCCTATTAATGGCCTGGGAAAAGCAGTGGAAGATGGATGAAGTGTTTAGGCTCCTGCCAACCATGTTGGAAACCTGAATGAAGCTCCTGGCTCCCGATTTTCACATGGTCCAGCCCTGGCATACAATCATCTGTGGAGTGAACCAGCAGGGGAAACTCTTTCCTCAGTTCTGATTTTCAAATAAGTAAATAAATCTTATAAAAAAGAATGTGACTGCAGTCTGGCAAACTAAGGCAATGGCATTGTGCCCTGTGTTAGGAAGAATTTCCCACCACAGGTGGGGGTTCATAATTTTGACATGGTTAATTTTGTGTACTAAAGTGGAGTAAGTGGAATGAGAGAGATTTGTCACTATTGGAGTGGGACTTTATAAAACAAGAAAATCACCCAGAATGGTATATATGTTGAAAATCAGAGTTGAAGACATCAGTGTGAACCCATGATCAGTTAATCATAGATGCAGAATGTTAGAGACACATTTATAGATCCATGACATTCATAGGTTTCCTTGTTATCAGCCTAAAAGAGCAGCAGAAACCCCAATGTGAAGAAGCATGCCCAGCTGAATTGTCTTTATTTGGAGCTGACTACCTCTTTTGGAATCATTTCACATCAATTTTGAAACCAAATGAGGCACAAGGGGCTCATGACTGAAAAAGTCACTGATACTACTCAGAAACTTGCAAGGGTAGATAATCTCAGGATCAGGACAAAGCTAGAGATAGCCTTTATGCCCAAAAGATGCAGATAAGTACTATTGAAGAATTTGCAACAGTTCTTAGACATGTATTACAATTCTACATTTTTACATAAATAAATCTACACAAATTTTACAATTTTACATTAGGTAAATATGCAGAAAACCCAAGAGCAACTTCTAGAGGTAAAAAGCACAATCTCTGTAATTAATAATTTCTCCAATGGAAGTCGGACAGATGAGACATTTCAGAAGAGTAGATAAATGGACATGAATATAAAGCAACATAATCCATCACAACAAAAGTTGGGGAGAAGAAAAGACCAAAAAGGGTGAACAGAGGATAGAGCATCAGTCCAATTATATGTTTAAGTAGCGTGTCTCAAATGGTTAGGTGGAAGTTTGGGGAAATTATGGCCAAAGTTTTCAAATTTCACAAAAATACAAATCTATAATATCGAGGCAATCATTGCATTCTAAGCCCATGAGGGGAAAAACTCAATATACCAAGGGAGATCATAATAAAATTTCATAAACCCAGAAATAAAGTTAAAACCTGAAAACACTACAGAAGAAAAAGGTGTCCTATTCACAGAGGATTATACAAGGATAACAGATGTGTTATTGGTATAAATGCAAATTGTATGACACTGACAAAGAAACATCCTTCAAGTATTGAATAAGCTCTTTCTTTTCAAAGAGGCAGACACACAGTTATGCAGATCCTTGTGAAGACACTAGTGGGAAGAAAATCACTCTTGAGGTCAAGTCCAGTGACACCACTGAAATTGTCAAAGCCAAAATTCAAGACAAAGAGGGTGTCCCCTCTGACCAACAGTAACTGACATTTGTGAGCAAACAACTAGATGACAGTGACACTGCCAGATTACAACATCCAGAAAGAGTCTTCCTGCACTTAGTGTTCTGCCTGTGAGGTGCCATCACTGAACCCTCCCTCTAACAGCTTGCCCAGAAATACAACTCTGACAAGAAGAGGCACCACAAGGGGTACACTCACCTGCTCCTTCATGCTATCAGCTGCCATAAGAATAAATACAGCCACCAACTTCTGCCCCAAGAAGTTCAAATAAGGCCTTGCCCTCACAGGTTGGCCCCTTGCCCAAGCCCAGTTGCCTCACAGCAATAAAGTGGCCCTTTCATTGAAAAATAAGCAGTATTAAATGAATGCTGTATGCACAAAACATTTTTCACATCGCAAACTGTTTTTCAAAACCAAATAAATAGATGCTCATGTTATATTTTATGTGATTATGTAGGCAAAACTGAGTAACACGGTATAAGCCATAACACAGTGGTAAGCAGATATAAGAATATTTGGTGGATAAATACTCCACTACATTTTAAAAAGTAAAGTAAAGAAAATTTTCCAATATCTTGAATCAAGTAATAATCAAGTCACTTTGGAAAGTAATCTTAAAGGAATCGTCATAGCATCTTAAGCTACAAATTAGAAAATTTATAAAACCAAAGGTTAATATACATTTCATAAAATATATATTAAAATTAGTTAGAAGACAATTTGGTGAAAATAGTTACTTACAATTAAATTTGAAATGAAAGTAAAATGTAAAAATCAATGAATGTAAAACAAATAAAAGCATTCCTCCTGTTGGAATAAGTTTTAGGGAAAGTACCTAGAGGTACACTTGGAAAAATTCAGGGAATGATAATTGTTGAGTCATAACTATCAAGACTTTGCAATTGTGAAAGATGAAACTTACCCTAGATGAAGCAGAGATACCATGTACATTAATGCCACCAGCATAACTTTCCAAATTTAGAGTGACCTGATGACAACACAATAAAAAGTAAACCAAGTTAGCCATAGGTTTATAATCCTAGGACTCACTTAAACTATGATGTGGAATTGTGTGTGTGTGGGGGGGTGGGTAAAGAGAGAAAGACTAGATAGTTGTAAATTGAAAGCTACAAAACGAAAATGGAGGTTTATGATATAAAATATATTTCTAATACTATAAGTAAAACTGAGTAACTTGTTAGGAATAATAAAAGAATAAAAAGCAGATATAAATACATTTGGTGAAAGAGTTTATTACAACAAAGTTTGATTTTTAATGGAGTGTCTTAAATGATAGGTCATTCCATTGTACACAGTATATTACAGGAATTATGGCAGTGTCTAGAAATACATAATAGGAAATTTCATACACCAATGTTAAAAACATAAAGGTAAAATATGTTGCCTGGAAAGGGAGAATGTAGACAACTGACTTAACACCCTGAACAACTGTAAACATGAAATGCTCAGGAGAACTTACAGAACTTGAGCAAGCTGATGGTTTCACAATAAAAATGCAAGTCAAGATTGGCACAGGCTCCTAGTATGACCATCTGCTCACTAGGATGTTAGTGATACACACAGGTCATATTAATAGATTTAAAGACAAAACCAAAATAAAAATGGAAGCATGTGTTATAAAATGAGATGGGATGTGATTACTCTGAGAAGTAATGAGTAATTTTAAATGGGCTATGAAAAGCCAGCATAGGGAATTTTCTGAATAAGGAGTTCATTATAATTTCATCAATGTTGGAAACTATTTTTAAAAATCCTAGAAAAATAAAAAAACAAGGAGCATGCAATTTTCTACAATATATGAAAGTTTAGATTAATATATCTAGAAATATAGTATAGAAACTTTCAAAATCTAAGGCAAATTTAGAGTCCCACTAACATCCAAAAAGAGTAGAAACATGTTATCTGCAGTGGACTAACATGTCTCTGAGAAACAGTGTACATGACAGTTGCCAGGAAACATACAACATTTTGAGTAAGTTGATTAATTCACAATCAAAATGTGAATCAAGCTGGCTACAGATTCATAGTTTTTGAGTTGGCTCCAACTAAGATATTGAAAGCATGCATGGTGTTGGTGTAGTGGTAAAGCTGCCACCTGCAGTGCTGGTATCCCATATGGACACCGGTAAAAGTCCCCGCTGCTCCACTTCCAAATCAGCTCTCTGCTATGGCCTGGGAAAGCAGTGAAAGATGGCCCAAGTCTTTGGGCCACTGCACCCACATGGAAAGACCTAGAGGAGGCTCCTGGCTCCAATTTGGCACAGCTCCATCCATTGTGGCCAATTGGGGAGTGAACCAGAAAATGGAAGATCTCTCTCTCTCTCTCTGCCTCTCCTTCTCTCTCTGCATTATTCTGACTTTCAAATAAATAAATCTTAAAAAATATGCATGGGCAATAATCATAATTTCAAAAAATGATAAAGATTTATAAAGCAATGTAACTCTGAATGATCTATTATTACCATAAGAAAAATGAATATTTTGTTTTGGAAAAATAATAGAAAAATGCATGAATATAGTCAGAGCACTTGAAGAATAGACAATTGCATTAAAAATGAATATAAAAGTTTTTCACAAAGTTATAACAAAGACCATACCATCTACTACAAAGTTAAAATAAAGATGCCAGGGGGAGGTGTTGAGTCGCAGTGGATTCAGCCACCGCTGGGCATGTCCTCATCCTACATTGCAGTGCCTGGGCAGAGTGCTGTCTTCCTGTCCATGTACTTTGTAGGTAGCAGACTCTGCTCAAGTCCCTTCCTGACTCAGAGACTTTGTTTCTCTAACTACTACAACCTTGCATCTAAATATAATGAAGGGAAAAGAGAACAGAGGGAACCCAGGGCTAATTATGGTGGATAAATAATAATGAGAGGAGGAGATGCAGCTGCATCGGCACAGAAAAGGGCTTTGGAGACTTTATCCATCCCATTCCGCTCTGTCATATGAGGGAGAGCTGGGGATGGAGCAAGTTCTGTTATTTGGAGACAATATGTGTGTTTTTATTATTATTTTTAAAAAAGCCACCAAATAATCAACCAAGATTCACTGTAAGGCCTCCATGGAATACTTCTCAGGAGAAGAGTTTCAGAAACTTCTGGGGCCCTAATGAATACCACAGTACATGCTGAAGTCCTTAGACCATGTTTCACCATGCAGACACCACAGCTCCCTGGCCCACAGAGCCTGGGCTTGGGAAATGCTCCCCAACACTTAACAGCCTTGAAAAGGAGGTAGGAAATACTATGGACACCAAAGATCATTGTGGAAGTACTCAGGTGTCCAGGGAAAAACTAGGCCCTGGGGCAGGAGTCTGCTTATAAACATTCCTGGGGACACCAACGCCTATGCCCTCACCACCCCCAGCAGGCCCTCCCTGATCCCTACACATTATGTGCTCCTCCCTTTCCCATATACCACCTGCACCTTCCCAAGCCCCCAACACCCCGAGGTCATGTGGTCTGACCACTACCTCACCTCTGGTCAAACTCTCCTATCCCTCACACTCATCCCCCACCCTCAACCAAAAATATTTAATGGAGTCGCTGGTCCTGAGGCATAGTGGGTTATACCACTGCATGAATTGACAGTATCCCAATGGGCACCAATAAAGTCCTGGCTGTTCCACTTCTAATTCAGCTTCCTGCTAATGCACCCGGGAAAAAATCAGAAGATGACCCAAGCACCTGGGCTCCTGAACCCACATGGGAGACTCGGAAGAAGGTCTTGGCTCCTGACTTCAGCCTGCCCCAGCCTCAGCCATTTTGGCCGTTTGGGGAGTTAACCAGCAGACTGAAGATCTCTCTAACTCCACTTTCCAATAAATAAATATTAAAAAATACAGACTGGATATTGACCCAGGGCTGAGTCCACAGGACAACCTCAGATACAGGGATGAAGGGCATGGTGGGGTCACAGACCCTCCCACTCCTGGTTCTGGGCAAAGAACTCTCTCACAACCTCACAAGCTACAGAGACACAGTGAGGTCACCAACACCTCTGAAAGCACTTTCAAGCCTCACAGGGGCAGATGTTTAGGGGTGGGGAGGGTCCTTGGCTGGCAAATATATGGTGACCCTCCATGGCCTTGCCTCTGCTGGCTGCTCCTGGCACTCTTTGTGTCCATTCCTAAAACAATCGATGTCCAGCCATGCTTCTTCCCAGCTTTGTTGTACATGGCAGGCAACACTGAGCAAGCAAAGGCCAGGATCACTTCTGCATGACAATTGCCAAGAGGTAGAAGGAGCAAGTAGGGCAGGCACAGCACCAGGACCACAGGGCATAGTGCCAAGTAGTACAGCAGTTCAGCTATCCAGAGTCCAGCCACTGGCCACTGGCATGTAGGGCCAAGCCAAGCTAGACCAGATACACTGTAGCCACCAGGGACTGTTCCTGTTCAGTCCAGTCCCTCATTAACCATGCAGATATTTCTTCATTTACACAAGACAAACGCAGAGGCATGAAAAGGAATATCCGTGACTGTGTAGGTAGTAAATAGTGAGAAGCCCCCCCCCCCCACATCACAGGAGCTTGTGCCCCTGCTCTGGAGATGGAGAGGAGAAGAGAGACTCAGAAAGAACATGGAGTAGATGAGTAAGATTAAGGTTAGGTCTGTGCAGTCAGGGCAAAGGGATGGGCTGTGTTCTGGATTTGCTATCCCTTCATGGTGTTCTTATGCTAGAGATGCAATCCAGAAGTGGGGCCTGGTGACCTCATCACTGCCTCACTCTCCCCAGCAAAAGCAATTCTCCTGAAAGCCCAGAGTAGTGTCTCTGCCACTACAGCCTCAGAGAACTTGTACAGTAACTGCTTATCCCCCAACACCATCAACCCGATGTCTGCCAGGCTGCCCATGACCTGGATGGGCTCAGCTGATTGTTAGGACATGGGGTCCTAAATGGTACTTGTTTTTATAAAGACGCTTCCCAAAGTACAAAATACTACCCCCTACTCAGAGCTTTTCATACCTGAGAAGGATTTCTCAAAAATATCACAGATGAGGAGCTGGCACTGTGGTGCAGTGGGTTAACACCCTGGCCTGAAGCACTGGCATCCCATGTGGGCACTAGTTGGAGACCTGGCTGCTCCACTTCCTATCCAGCTCTCTGATATGGCCCGGGAAAGCAGTAGAGGATGGCCTAAGTCCTTGGGCCCTTGTTCCCACGTGGGAGACCAGGAAGAAGCTCCTGACTCCTGGCTTCAGATTGGTGTAACTCAGGCTGTTGCGGCCATCTGGGGAGTGAACCAGCAGATGGAAGACCTCTCTCTCTCCTTCTGTAACTCTCACTTTCAAATAAATAAATAAATATTTTTAAAAAATCACAGATGAAATCAAAGCAGGTATTTTGAGAATGCTGTGAGCCACTGGGTTTTATGCATACTGGAGAATCTGCCTGATCATGGGGAAGGTCATGCAAAAGAGGGCCAAGCAAACCACTTAGGACCTGTGCCCTGTGTCCATCCCTGGGGTGAGTCAGAATGCAGGGCCAGTCATGGGCAGCTTTGGGCCCCTTTCACCTAGAGTGAATATGCACTCCAGGCACTCCAATGTAGGCTAAGTGGATAGACTGTAAGTTGAGCCAAAGGTTGTGTCACCCAGGCAGGAATTTGGACAAAGGGGGTGGCCTAAAGAGAATTATCAGGTAATGTATATAATAGGAGCCAGTGTATCATGTAGGTAATAAATGCCTAGATTATAGCTCAAGTTGCAGACAATGCCTGTCTTCCTTTTTATTATTATGTTTCTTTACTGAGGAAATCTTTATTTTAAAGGCACTGAGAAACTTACCTGTAGGCATTTTATAAGTAAGACACAAATGGACTATTTATAATTGGTCCATAAATTTTAGGAGCTATGGAAACAGCTCAATGAGTGACAATGAAATGAAATTACTTCAGAATCCTCCATGAACTGCTTCTAACAAAACACTTCTCCCACTTTCCGGGGGAAATAAGTCAGCCCTGTAG